CCCTTTTGAAATCGCCCTTTCGAAAAAAAGAAAAACGCAGAGAGAAGGGGGGGAAAAAAAAAAAAAAAAAAAAAGAAGAAAAAGAAAAGATAGGGGCTCACTTAACTACTTGCGCTGGATATCCCTTTTTCTGCACATGAAAATTTTTCAAATGCCAACGTAATATATATTTTTTTTCCATTAATTTGTGTTTCCAATGTATTAAAAAATGCAAGGCAGAAAGGGAAAATAAAAGTAAAAGAAGAAAAATTCGAGTCTGGCACGGGCAGCATGAGCTCTCTTGATCGGCATTCGTATGGCCACCGGACTACCGTACTCCCCTGAATACAACCCACGGTAATTACAAATGTATTTGGGGCAATTTTCAGTCTAGAAACAGCAATAATGACAGACGTGCATTCTTTGCGGGTGGAAGGCGGTAGTAGCAGAAACGACAAAAGCAATGATCACAACAGCATCACAAGAAGACAGACAACATTAAGGTCTCTTCGATGATGAAAAAAAAAAAAAAAAAAAAAAAAAAAAAAAAAAAAAAACCTTCCTTTTTTTCTTCTTTTTTCTTGATGCAATACCTGCTGGAAATCGGTTCCAGGGGGGAGGTACCACTAGCAAAGCGGATCGGACTAAGCGCCTGCATCTGGACGATTTGTATGCAGACATGCAGAAAAGATGAGAAATAGCGATTATCTGCAATCTCTCTGCAAACACGTCTAGATTCAGAAGCTAAATCCAATCCTGTTTGCAGAGAGGGACGTAAAAATGTGTATATAATATATTCAGCCTCCTGATGAGTCGGTGAAACTCCGACGAAACAGTTTGTCACAGCCCCTCGTTTGTTGTCCTCTTCTCCAGCTCTGCCTACGGTTTACCGGGCAGTTCTGTTTGACGATATATATATATCGTCAAACAGAACTATATATCGTCAAACAGAACTGCCCGGTAAACCGTAGGCAGAGAGGGAGAAGAGGACAACAAACGAGGGGTGTGACAAACTGTTTCGTCGGAGTTTCATATATGAGATATATAATATTTGTAATATAATATATAGTCAAACAGAGCTGCCTACGATATATAATATATGAAATAAACCAGTCATCAATCACATCCATCAGATCAATCAAACCCAATCAATCAATCAATCAACCGAACGATCAATTGATCAGTCACACATTCAATCAAACAAACGATCAATCAATCAATCAATCAGGCGGTCAATCAATCAATCAACCAAACGACCAATCAATCAATCAGTCAATCAATCAATCAATCAATCAATCAATCAATCAATCAACCAAACGATCAATCAATCAATCAATCAACCAAAAGATCAATCACTCAATGAACCAAACGATCGATCAATCAATCAATCAACCAAAAGATCAATCACTCAATGAACCAAACGATCGATCAATCAACCACTTAATCAATCAATCAATCAATCAGCCAATCGATCAATCAATCAATCAATCAATCAATCAATAGAATCAGGACAACACTACAACTCCTTTTAAATACAAAAGAAAGAAGAAAAAAAAATAAAATAATAAATCAATCCATCAACCAATTAGACTAGAACTGAACAGAAGACAAGTTCCACGTGCTAACGCGTTCAGTCGACAAGCTCAAAGTCGTCCAGGTGCGGTGCAACAAAGTGATCCGGACCTAAGGTGTAATAAGGCTTGTGTGATGCGCGAAGTTCTTAATCTTTATTGGGGAATACGGCCTTGTAAGATTCCAGGAAAACAGTCATATTCATGCGTCTACACCTGTGCGCGAGAGGCAGGGGGGGACGAAGATAATGGGCCTCGCCTCCACTACTCAACATCCTACATGCATTTGGACGCTTTTCTGAGCCAGATACGAGCTCCAGATGCAGATGGTGCATTTGGAGTCTAAGATTCACAATGCATCGGGCAGATTACCAGCTCCAGAGTGTTGTGTAGTGAAGCGAGGCCCAATGTTCACAAGAAGATAGACAAACAGAAAGGGAAAACAATGACAAACTTACTATTACAGGAAAGTTTTCCACAAGAAACATCCCCTACCTCCTCTCTTCAGCCTACCAAACTCTATCGGAGAGCTGAGTGTGGTCGTCGTTTGACCTCCGCTGTACCTGCGGCACCACGTCGACCAAATAATACGTCACCGTATACCCGAAGTACCTGACCCCTTATATTGACACTCTTCGTCGACAAAGGGCCTCGCTGCACTACTCTCGACATGCACAAAATACAATAATCATGGGGGTGTGTCTTTCCATAATCTGGCCGAAGATTCACTCTCGTTTTGCACATTTCGAGAGTAGTGCAGCTAGGCCCAAAGTCCTGAAAAAAATTCCCGCCATAGCAGTTCTCAGCCGTCAACGGCTTTCGAAATACACGCAAAGTTCGCAGCCAGGAGGCTGCCCTATACAGGTTGCATTTTGTGGCGTAGCGAGGACGTCTTTTTCAGGAACTGTCGACGACCGATCGGGCGGTAACATGGGTAATTGAAGGGTGCGGTCGCTGTCAGGGCAGAGACAGGTAGGCCGGGTGGTCGGGGTCTAGGGCAGAGACCGGTAGGGTGCGGTCGCTGTCGGGGCAGAGACCGGTAGGCCGGGTGGTCGCGAGTGCGGTTGGAGGGGGGCAGACCAGCGGTCACGAAAAGAGGTCAGCGGGCCGTTTTCATGGACGGCGGCCGGTTTTCCATTTCGGGCAATATCGTGCGAGGGTGCAATTTTCGGATTCCAAAGGCTGGGCCGAAGTGGGTTTGGAGGTGTGCACAGCAGAATGCTGGCGGCAGTCGGGGTGTTCGTATTCGTATTCCATTCGAATTCACACATCATGCTGTGCTGTCGTAGTAACGGATGCATGTTTCCCTTCTGTGTGGGAAGATGCACTCGTTGTTTTTCCCGGGAGGAGTTAGGGCTTTGTCGAAAAGGAAAGAGAATGAATGCATCTTCAGCAGAAAGTGGTAAGATGCATCCGTTGGTATTCATAGTAACTGATGCATCTTGCCCTTCTCTATGGGAAGATGCAGTCATTGTTTTTCCGCCATCATAGATCAGTTGGCAGGCAGGGGGCAGCGACCATGGTGGGGTGGAGCAGCATGGTCGGGTGGAGCAGTAGCAGGCAAGCAAGCAAGTAGAACGTCAACCAGGTTGTTGCCGTGCTAAGTGAAGCGTGGCGACGTCCCAAGATTGGGCCCGTTTCAACAGTGGTGTGCCCAGGCCCGTTCACAATCCTTTTCGTTCGGTGTGCTTCAAGCCCTGCCCGCCGGCCGGTCTCGCTCCCGAGTGGCTGCGCTTCCGCGCTTGCGCGGTACACAGTTTTGTACTTAGGGCCAGATCCCACTAGCCCCTATTGTTCATTTCTGACCGTTGATCTTCGTAATCGAGGGTGAAAAATGAGTAATCCAGGGTGGTGGGATCTGACCCTTACAAACTAGGGGCATACTCACTCCGGGATCCCGGGGTCGGTCCCACCTGCGCATTTTTCTTGTAGCAGGCTATCACGAAGGGAATGGCGGGCACCAAAGGACCATGGATCAACACAATGGATGGTCCCTAGATGCCCGCTGGTCCCTTCGTGGTAATGTGCCAAGACAAGTACAACCGCAAATGCAAAGGGGTTCC